GGTCCACGGTTCAACTTCTGAAATGATCAATTAGACAATGGACTCCGGACTAGGTGCGCTCCTCTAAGTCTTCCTACCAATATGACCATGTTGCGAAAACAAGGTCAAACAACTTTTATACAACGAAAGGAGACTGCGATCATTCATAAGGCCACACCATCTTGGTCTTCATACCTTGGATTAAAGGTAGAATGTTTATGGACTGCATCATACTGCAGGGCAGCAGGGATCGGCTGTCGTCTTCTAGTTAATCTCTTCATCAGATCTCTTTACACAAAATCAAAACCACCTCAATAATTTTTGATTAGTAGACTTGCAGATAGAGCCTCGATAATTATCCAATTCTGAAAATGTCTGATCCATGACAGTTGATTTCATGCACTTTGTGCAAGTTTATAGTCCGAAGTACTAAGAGAGATCGCGTAATATCATCCCATCAAGAGAGAGCTTTATTGAGTGCTAGAGGTGAACTTTTTCGTTAGATATGTGGATATATCCTATAAAAGTTTATTAGACTTTCAGCACGCAACTACACCTCTCCTTATTTTATTCGAAGATATGAATACCAAGATGGTGTTGTATAGAAGTTGTTTGACCTCGTTTTTGCAACAGGGTCATATTGGTAAGAAGTCTTAGAGGAACGCACTTAGTCCGGAGTCCATTGTCTGCATGGTCATTTCCAAAGTTAAACTGTGGGCGTGGTACATTCCCAAACGTTTCGCCGGCATCGTCAGTTAGTATCACCATCCTAAGCATCATACAGCAACTCGTCAAAGAGACAAGTGAAGCCGATCCTTTGACCAAACGTGTGCTAAAAAATTATGGTATCTCCCCTTTTGCCCTGGGTTATTCGCGTTTCCTGTATTATCCTATCATGACTTCACTATTACAATTTTTACCGTGTTTAGTTAGATATAGTGTGGTATGGTCCTTTGAGCGACATGAAATCTTCACACTCCAACGGTCGTTCTCACCCCCCCTTTCATTCTTGTGCAGGGGATGTTGATCAGAGTCTGCTTTATTATTATGCAGTCCTCTTTCCTAGTTCTACCACAGTCTCTCTCTTGCTCCGTAGAATCCGTCTGCTCCACTCCTTGTTCACCTATTTCACTCGACTCCTGCCACCACATCTGTCCTACTCGAGGCGTTATTCGTCCTCCCCTGCTTCTGGGTGACTAATTTGTTTGGGAATGTACCACGTTCACGGGAAAACTTTGTAAATGATCATGCAGACAATAATATCCGGACTAGGTGCGCTCCTCTTAGTCCTACCAAAATGACCAAGTTGCGAAAACAAGGTCAAACAACTTTTATACAACGAAAGGAGACTGCGACCACACAGAAGGCAACACCATCTTGGTCTTCATATCTTCGATTAAAATATGGAAGTAATATTGCCAAGCAATGCACTGATTACAGCCGGACAAAGACCATTGTAATTCAATTCTGCAACGAGAAGTGATGGCAACATCAGGTCCATTAGACACAGTTCAATACGACTTAGAAATTTCATGAGACCACGCATAGTGAAATCGATAATCATCTTAACTAAGAAAATACTTTTGCTATATGCTAGGCGGTGAAGGTCATCAGGAACATTCCAGCTTTCTTTCACTGAGGTTGCAAATATCGGTCATAAGTTACCTTAACTCTAGTCATCCGGCAACAATCAAATTTACGTCAGGAAGTATCTTTATTACCAAATGTAGTTCTCATAAAATGAATCTTGAATGATCAGAAGCTTCAAAATGCGAATTATGTCGCTGACCGACTAAAGCAAACTTTGTCCACTTGGATTTAGAAAATATGCTCGGAAGAAGCAAGTCTTGTCTGTTTTGATCTATCTCAGCGAAAATGCGGGCGTTCGCTCGGAAAGTTCAGCTAATTCATGGCAAAATTAAAGGAATTCGCTGACAGAGATAAAACGATTATTCCCAGCGTTGAAAGAGGCGTTGAAAGGGTACATCATAGTTGTGCATAGTTGAACGCATCTGCCAACCTATCTTTGTCAGCAGCAGATAAGACTGAAAGTCTAAAATTATCTGCCAAATGCACACTGCCAATTCATATGAAGTTATGGTCACACTTATGTTACATGCGATGGGGCGGTAATGAGTGACCAAGAATGTATTCCTGTGGGGCTTCAGGATGGAAAAGTAGAGCACAATAATATTGCGATTAAAGGCGTCTCGTATAGACGTTATAGGACCCAATGGATTAAGGCGTCAAAAATGGATGTTAGTGTTTCCAACTTATTTGGAGTGAGGGACTTAACTTTGCCACTGGCGTAGCGTCGGGCGACCGCATTCCTCGGACTACCGGACTTCCGGGTCCCGAACCAGCCGCAAGACAGAAGGTGCTAGAGTGCTTCAACTGTGTGCTAGTCTCATAAACGACGACGTCGTCATAGCAACAGCAGGTTTGGCCGGATTCAATTTTTGTGTCTTTATTGGTAAAACAAACTCCGAGTTGAAAATGCTGAATCTGCAGACACTAAATCGACTGTGTCGGGGTCTTGATGATTTGGTGCTGTTGTATTAAGGGATAGGGAGTAGGAAGATCTACGAAGACAAAAGGAGTGTTAAAACAACCATTCGACAGAAAGGTGATCAAGGGTTGGACTGAATCTGTATTTGACGCATTGTAACTTGATGCTATGAATGACAAGACTTACTGACGATGCCGACTACAATGACGGCAAAATGTCTGAGAATGTACCAAGTCCATAGTACGACGTCGTGAATCATTACAAAAACTATAATGGAGGATTTCGGACAAGGTGTGCTCAACTATGTCGCTCTGACAGCACGGCTAAGTTGCGAAAACGAGGTCGAACACATTCTCTACGGTGAAAGGAGAATGGTACCAAAACAGAGACCACAGCATCTCGGCCTTCATATCTCCGATTGAATTAGGCAAGTAAAATTGTAAAAAAATGCACTTAATACAGCCAGACAAAGAAGACAAGTGTAAGTCAATCATGCCATCTAACCTTTTGAGACTGTTGTAGAGGTTATAGTATCACTCCTCGAGTCTTTGACTTTAAGAGACATTACCATTTGGAAAGAGTTAATGAGTCTCCTCTTATATAGACTCGACTAAAAAACAAAAATGAATATGCATAGACAAATATAGAATGTTGAACTTACTTCCATTTCGAGTGGAAGTGTTGAATGAAAAGATTCGATAGTCCGTTCCATCAGAAGACGACGGCGGATGTCGGTTGGATTTACTGGAAGATTCATGCTGACGCTGTTTCCGAGGCAATCTCCTTTGATTCCGGTGAACAGTTGCTAAGCTTTCGTCCGTCATATGACGGACATCATCAGAGCGAAGTCACAAGAAAATTCAAGCTAACGAGTCAAGAAAACTCACCGGCAAATCCCTAAAAAGTAGTATATATACTCTACATCTGGCCTCTTTGATAAAGTATAAAGTGATTTGGTTAGTTAAGGTCATATGTAACTTCTATGCATGTAAGTGTGTCTGTCTCTGTATTTGTATGTGCATATTTGTGTTCGCTTATGCACGAAAACCGAAGTGGTGACTCAAAGTAATTAGGACAGCAAAAAGGAACGTCTGTTTTTGGCCATCAAGGTTTGATGACCCCAATCTCCCCCTTTCAACATTTAAGTTATAACCATCACTCCGATTGCGCAAGGTCGGACACGTCTGGTTTTGTTGATAAGCCTATTTTTTGTTTTTGTTTTTAATGCCAGAGAGAAACTTCCACTCGAAATGGAAGTAAGCTCAACAATTATGAAACAAGAAAGTTCTCGAAACCCAACTTTTTTTCGTATAAATATAGAATGGTTTGGCTCAATATATTTCATATTGCTCACTATGAATTTACTTGAATGTGTGCATATGTGTCAATGCCAGTGTGTATACGTTTTGGCGTCTCTACGCTCCCAACAATAGTACCCAGTTACTCTTCACATTGCTCAGATATGGGATTATAAGAGAGCAAATGTTAAAATCTGCGTGCCTGGTTGATTTGGTCATCAAAGTAATAAACCAACTCTTTAATTCAATGATGGGGTTAAATTTGTGAAGTTATATTTAATTCCACTGGATTACGAAACCCTTACGACTTTGAAGCAAGGGCTTAATTTTTCACTCCAAAATCAAAGACCCGTTCTAGAAGACATCGTTGCGGAGACCATTATAATATCAGGAAAGTCCCTGTAGGAGATAATACAGTATGTAGAGATGGAAATATTCCCTATACACTTGACACGTCAAGAACCAATAAACAAACAAAATTACCGAGGATGTTCAGGACCTTATGAAGGAATGACAAAGTAATCTTTCAGGAGGATAAAAGAGGAACAGCAGATAGAAAGTATAGCACGAGACTTGGCTACATATCGTGTAATAAAGAAGTACCCAATTATGCAGATTAATGAAACACCTAACAACACGATTTAAGATATACATATTAGTGGACAAATCGACACAATGACAAAGAATTAAATAATAAGAAAGAATGCAAGAACATTAACAGTAACGGATTAACAAAGATACCGAAAGATGGGGAACAGCTAAGTCTGATAGTCAACAACAAGTATCGAGCAAAATACAAACTGAAAAAGTTTGTGTTTTAACCTCAAGAACTTAAACAAAAGGTTATCCCAAACGGTGCGACAATCATATAAATTTGCTCAAAGTATCAAAAGCAAAGAATAATTAGTAATCGAAGGTATGAAGACTAAGATGGTGTGGCATTTAGAAGGGTCGCGATCTGCTTTCGTTGGATAGAATTCTTTTGACCATGTTTTCACGTCTGGGTCTCATTTTCCTCCAATTTTTATCTTCCACCCGACCAAAATGCAAAGTAGCCCTTCTGATATCGCGGGGGCACTCTTAGTTGTGGCGGTGGCATCTCGAAGTCCACTTCTAATCGGTTCATGTATACATCTGCAAATAGAGCTGAGAACGGCCATCATACATCAAGTCGGAATGTCTGTTGAGAGGTGTGATACCGTTGAATGTGAAGTAGGTAGTGCATATTGTCAAGCTGATTAGTCGTGTCAACCACTCCCTCCTGATCCTTCCTGCCTCCGCGACATCTCCCTCTCGGTCAAAGCTATCCAGCAAGACCGTTAGCGTCTATTATCCAGAGATGCTTGTTTATCTACATTGCACATCAATACTTAGTGATTATTAGGGTTGTTTTATCTTGTTTCACCAACTTGGTCTTGTTGTTATAGGCAGCTGGAACAACGCATATTGTCCGAACCCCATAGCGTGCGCGTTAACTTCCAGACCAGAAGAGATAATGTAAACGGAAAACCGCATGTAAAGGCTCATATCAAAAAGATCTGAGCTCGCTAAACACATGACCAAAACAGGACACCCGATAAAATCATAGGAATAGAGCATCTTGCTGGATACGTTGACTTCAGATCAACACTTTAGATTAAGGAGTATATAGAAGTTAACAAAAGAGTTAACGTCCTGAATAGGATGGATGAGTGTAGGAAACTAAGTAGGAATTATTTATGCCTGTTGAATAGACTTAAGGAGAGAGAGAGAGAGAGAGAGAGCAAGAAGTGCCACTGAACAAGATAAGGAGGCTGGATTAGCCTCGAGTCTAGCTCAGACTATCACACTTCCCATGACATGGGCATTACATTCACACAATAGACAATAGCTCAAGCCCAAACATGATTCAACAATAGAGGATAGCACATGAGTTTATTCATTTTTTTAAAGAAACAGCTGCCACCGAATTCACTTCCGCTTCGTGAAATAACTTCACTCATCTGAAAGCCTGAAGAGTAAGTTTGAGGTAGCTAACAAAATCAAGCGACTTGGGTTGCAGCCGTCTCTTGATTTTGTACATTTTTGCTCTATTTCGTAAAGTATGGATGCCTGCTCTGATGATTTCTTTCACAGTACAGACGAACGCTTATCAAAAGTTGATCGGGGTCGCAGGACGGTGATCTGACGACTTTGTCTTACCTACGCGGTAGTCCTCCTTCGGTTTCCGGTGAGACCACATCACGAATCATTTCCAAATAAAGTTTTCTTCGATATGGAACGTCATGTCACAATATATCCTTGGGTCACGGGGCAGATGTGAATTTCACATTTTTTCGTGGGATTGTTGATTTCGCAACGTTATATTTGCTATGATAGTCGACACACGTTTGGTCAAAGGATGGGCTTCATTTGTCCATTTGACGAGTAGTAATATGGTGCTACGAATGGCGATACTCGCTGATGATGCTGACTACGATGTCGGCGAAACGTTTGGGAATGTACCGCGTCCACGGTCCGACTTTGGAAA